AAATAACAACTGGTTAAACGCGTATAATACTGAACACATATAATATATACTATAACTATACTTCCAGCTATATACTATATATGTCTATAATCTATATATTATATATACATATATATAAGTACCTGTGGTGGGTGATTAATTTAACGCAACACTGTTTCAAAAAATATTACTTAATTTTTTAGAAAATATTTTTGTTTCAAGTTGTAACAAAACAACGTTTTTTAAAAAAATATATATTTTTAAATATTTTTCATTCTTATAATTTTTTAAGTTTTATTTCATCTTCGAAAGTTTTTATTTTTCCGAGTATTTCAATACATAAAAATCGAATTTAGGACGAGTAAGTTTATAAGTTATAAGTATACTTAATTTTTGTGGACGGAGTGAAGTGATCCACGATTACCCTTCGCAAAATGTTGGTGTATACTGCTTCACTCATTTAAGCTTTAAATACTCGTCTTAAGGGGTATGCATACCGACCGTTTCTAAGGAGTTCAATATAGGTAATTTTCTATTTGTGTGCATGCGGGTCGTGTAAATGTGTGAGTAGTAAGTGATTATTAGTGTGAGTGACTGTGTATAAATTAAATAAAATAGTGGAGCACACCCTAACGTGCACGCACATGCCAGTAACGCAACATTTTACACTTTAATTACAAATGTGAATTTTAGTGAAACACTGAAACTTAGTTTCGTATTTCCAATAATATAGCTTACTAAGTGACATTACAGTATGAACACCTATTATACAAATTGAAGAGAAGAAGTTTATCTAGGCTTGTATAGGAGTCGATTTTCGATATTTTATTTTTAATATCCAATATTTAACTCTAAAACTTGTAATATTTTACTTTTTGAATTTGAATTATTGAGTTTAGTAATTACAAATATCAAAAATTGACTTCCGTACAGGAACAGATTAACTTCTCTTCTACAATATTGGTAATAGGTGTTTTTACTCTCAAACCGCTCAATAAACCATATTATTGGAAATATAAAAGTACATTTTCATAGATTTTTTCAATACTATTCAGTATTCATACCCCTTAAATTCAATTTTTGGATATCGAAATAATTAAACAAATATTCTGCTTTGGAGTATGAAATTAAAACTGTATGTTGTCATTCAAAAAAGTAAGCAACTTAAAAATATTATAAGGATAAAAATATTAAAATATATAGGTATTATTTAAAATTATATATTATTTTAATGGGTATTATTTAAAATGTTGTGACTAGTTACCATCTAAAAATGTTTTTCAAAAACATTTACACTTTTTGAAATAATGAATGGTGTATGATAAAAGAATCACCTGATACATTAAAGTTGGTCGGCAAAACATTTTGTCGGTCATACACTTCAAAGCGAATTATCTACACAAAAAGAATGTTTTTAGAGCAGTTTATTGAACAACAGACAAAAAAAAAAATCGATACACTTTCAGGCCATCGATTCTTCACCACATTCCCACATTGTATATTTAGACGTCACTGATTAAGCCGCAACAATTATTAATAACATTAAGTGTTTTCGATAACGTTAAATGTTAAAAAGATGTCTCCTTCGGACGACGCGCGCGACAGATATTTACTTTGGAAAACATACTATACATAACGTCTTATTTGATAATAAAGCTATTAATTTTTGGTATCTTACAACTTCAACGAATAATTTAGAGAAAAATGTTTATAAACGACGTAATATATATTATAGTATAGGTACCTACGTCTATATAAAGCCACCGATTGTGAGCGACTAACTGTAGAATATACATCTAATTTGGGTCGTAAAAACACATTTATGCATTGCCTGTAATCCTGCCTATTTTATTGGCTTGTTTATTACTATATAGGATCCTATACGGAGGCTGATGACCCGTTAATCAGATTTTTTACTTCGACCTAAACTATAAATAGGAAACTAGTAAACTACAAAAACATATCATAACTCTTCGAGATTCCATTAAAATACAAATTTTCTGCATCCTAAAATTGCAACTAAATTACCAATGGGCAATAATAGTTGAAAAAAATTACTTGTTATCGTTCGAATAAATATTAATATTATTAAATTATTATACATACTACACACAACTTGTATTCCGTCATCACCAGATGATTAAACAATAAATTATATTATGTATTTTATATTAAAGCAAATTCTATGGTTGGCAGTTCGTAGGTATACGAAACTATAGGGTTTGTAAAATATAACAACAGAGTTTATTATTAACAAACTAAAAATGACTTAGATCTTTGTTTTAAATGTAATGTTTAATGTTTAACTGTTCACAGAATGTTCGTTAGCTTCATTTGTGTCTGGCACAACGGTACAAAAGATACCTTACGTATTTCTACCACTACAAGGACAAATCGTGTATCCTAGTGCTGAAATTAAAATTGCTGGTACGTATTTTATTTTGGATAATATAATATTAGTTGTCGTTTCAAAATAACGCAGAAAAACATAAAAATACTAGTTATACTTGTTTCGCTGTACAACGTTAATAATAAATACATACATTAATACAAATCAAAGTTTCTAAACCTACCACATTTATATTAGGAATATAGAATTAATGATATATCCAGGGGGCGGAGTGGCCGAGCGGACTAAGGCGTCGGTTGTGACGCGCACCGACGCCGGTTAAAAACCTTGGCCACGGGCGGCATTTTTCTTCGAGCAAGTCACGGTGTCCGGAGAACAAGTGTCGCCATCCCCCAACCGGGCATGACAGATACCTACGGGTACCCACTTGAAAATCTACCAAAAACTACACACACGTGTTAACACCTACTGTTCCCTCCCCCACACTTTAAAAACCACCCAATGGCCTAACTTGCCACTGGTTAAATGATAAAAAAAAAAAAAAATGATATATATACACTAAATATATTTTTAAATATATACGCAGCATAAAAAAATTGCATAATACTATTTCGGTTGATTTATTTTTGGTCAGAGATGATAAACATTTTTTTGTTGGGCCGTTATAGTTCATATTTGAATGTGCAGTATTGTTAATTATAGTAAACACGATAAGTCACTAAGATAAAACATTTAACTTTAGGACTTAGGAGGACGTCTAAGGGCGTAAGTGCGTCTATAAGTGGGTGAAAATTTTTTTTCGCTTAGCAGTTCACGTTTAGAATCGTTATTTTTGTTATTAAAGCGAATTGGTCTATCTATTATTAAATCTAAAAGTAACACAATATATTTGTCTGACTTTGTTAGATGTGAATTTTTTGATATTTTAATTTTAAAACGACTCATGAGAATTTTTAAATTTATATACTTCACACTGCACTTAAAACTTGCTTCAAAATTAAAATATTGAAAAAATTGTCTCAACAAATCACATACAATGTTGTTAGATTATTAGAATTAATATTAGGCCAATTCACACTAACATTAAAATTCACGAAGTAAAACGTGAATTGCTGAACGTAGATTGTTAATATTGACCCTATAGGGGCTATATATATATATATAGATATAAGCATTTGTAAGACGGAGACAACAAATGTTTGGTAAAATGTCCTCTTAAGCAAAAAGTATACTTTATTACTTGATAGTCTATAGTGTTTTGAGATAATAGAATAATATGTAGGTAGGTAGTAGGTAGATACCTACAATTTAATATTCGATGTGTACAAAAATAATTAATTGTTTATGTGGTGTTCAAGAATTTAGAGTATCCTGAAAATAGTGCCACCATAATTTATAATATATATCTATTATCATTGATTATATTATTTTTAAATTTTTATACAAACTTTGGCGATCAATTTATAGTAAGATAATATGGATTTAGTGCTGTACCTATATAATATGTTTGTTATTATGGTATCTTACCTATCCAGCTATCCAAAAATAATATATTTTATATTGTTTAGTTGAAAGGAGGAATGCGAATAGCTAATATAGCTATAGATATACCCTGTCAAAATAAGAAGCGACCTGATTTACGCTTGAAAACCGGTTTTACTAGTGGCCGCTGAATCGCTTCTTAAAATGAACAGACTATATATATAAATATAATATATTATTAGAGTCAAAAATATAATCATGACAATTTAGAAATTTTTTTATGTTGATGGTAAAATGCACGGTTTTCGACGGAATGCACGTGTCAATCCTGAGGGTATAAAAGTATAACCTACCTATAAATATTTACTTTAAAAGCGTTACAACACTTACAACTGAACTTATTCAGCCAGATTAAAATTACCGAGTTGATTTCTGCACGTGGTAACTACTCGTTAATTTACAAAGCCTCGTGGCATCTATTTACCTTAATAACTTTACCATACTTAAATATAACTGTCGATGGTTATTTAGTATTTATTATGCATACAAATCCAAAGATGTATATTGTGTATTAGTTTAGTTTTAAATAGATTATTACCTATTAAAACAAATTGTAATTTGTAGAGCTCACGACCCGTACTAGTTTTTACCACCGTTAAAAACAAAACAACTTAAAAATAAAATATTAATGTATTTAGCTGGGGGCAACAATTAGTTACTAATCAAATTGGTAGTGTGTTCGTAGAACAGGTCACAGGTGCCAATATTTCGTCCATCTTAAAAATCATAAATCATCATATTTTTATCATTAAACCGTGTTTTTCACATGATAAAATAGAGATGAACTACTCGTAAATCGTAATAGCTATTTTTATTCTTCAATCCATTACACAATATATAATATACTAATAATATATTCTATTAATTATTATTAAACCATTCTTAAAAATTTTTTTTTAAGATTTAGGTAGACAGTAAAATTAATTTGCATTGAAGTCAAACTTAAGGTTACAATTTATGTACAATACGTCTAATTCAGCCGTCAACTGTTCATTGTATACCATTATTTAACATAAGAATAATTAATTAATTACAACTACAAGAGATAATTAGTAGTAAACAGTAGAATATTATTAGACGAATCAATAATTAATTTAATCAAGTAATTATATCATACTGTTTTACAGGTATGCAGTATCCTATTTGTGCTATTTCAAAAGCAAAATATTTAACTCGAGGCGGTTGGATAAATTTTAAAAACCAATCTGACTTCGAAATCCCTTTCCAAATACACCGCGAAAATGGACACCTCATGTTATTCGTAAGTTCAGAAAGTATTTTGTTCTGTTATCGACAAACTCTATTTTTATATATTTATAAGTTATAACATAGGTACCTATATAAATAAAGATAAATAGCAATTTTTTATTAATTGATATTCGATATACCTATTTTAATAAATTAAATCGAATAAACAATATTTCTATATAGTTAAACATTTAAATTATGTACCTAGCTTATTATACTATAACTAATTACATGTTATGTATGAAAAAATATATTATACACATACCAAGTAATCATTAGGGGAATATAAACTGCTTTATTTAAAGATACCAAAACTTTGAACAAGATGTTTAAAATAAATATTTATTTTAATTTACGTAATACGGAATTTTAGAATGTCGCATAATGATACACGATTATTATTATTAAGTAAATAGATAAAATCTAGTTCCTATAGGCTATAACACATATACCGGATTTTCTTCTTTTATTAATTGGTAGGAGAGCAACAATAAATAAAGAATAATAAATAATAAATTATGTGTACGAACATTTGATCAATGGTTTTAACTTGCTAATAATACAAAATTCAAAAATAGAAATAATTCTCGTTTAAAAAAAAAATATTGTATTATATTTTATAATTTATTTATTAGATCTTTAAAATTAAAATGTTGAAGTTTCGACGTTAAGACTTATTTGAATAACATATGGTACCTAGTACCTGATAAGTCGTAACTATAATATTTATAAATTAACTTTTACAAACCAAATTACTCCAACTGTATCCCGTGGAGTTAATGATAAAATTATAACAAACAATATTATATTGAACTGTTTTATATTCTTTCTTATTTTTTGTACCCTTCATCTACAATTAATGCCATATAAATAAATAATAAACCGAGCTACTGAGTGATAAAACAACATAGAGTACTTCAAAAGTTTTAAAACTGCTATAATATTAAGTTGTAAATTAAATAAAATTTCAAATATTCTGGTGAAAAACATTTGAATGTGTTCTAATTTATTACACCGGTTTAACGTAAAATAAAATTTAAATAATAATCAGAAATTAATAGTTAGTTTTATACGGCTATACCTATTATTTCCAACATCCGTGAAGAAGCCTATTGTAATTATTTATGTATTGAATATATTTTTTAGTGGTTAGGCGATTTACAATCAAGGACCAACATCGAAGGGAGACTAGTATGATCGAAAGATTTGTAAGGAAACTTATCACAGATTATGACAGCAGTTTTCAAGCAAGCCAATAACACCTTGTCTTTCATTTAGAATAGCAAGGAACTCCAAGTAATTAAAAAAAAAATAAAAGTATATAAAATGTTTTTCAATAGATAATATGATTTGCAACAGGTGTAAAAGAAGTTTTATTTTCAACTGACATTCGATCATCAGATAATGCTTCTAGTTCAGGATTAACTATAAGTGAACTAATAGCTGTGGCGATTTGTTCTATTCTATTAGGACTAATGTATGTAGCATCTATTTTGTTGTACTTGCATGTCCGTAAAGGGAGACCTAAGGGACAAAATGGAGATATAGAAGCTTTTAAAAATCCATTAATGTCAAACGGTATTACTGAAGAGGGTATAGTAAAAAACAACCCTCTGTTACAACACAGTTACAATGATAATGAGGCCTTTGAGTCAGACGAAGACAGAAATTATAGTATAAGTACACAAGGAGAACCTTCTATGGATATGATGGAAAATAATAATATTAATGTAAGTACCTAAAGCAATGGGAATAAAATATAACCCTACTAAGTTAATGATAAAATAATTAGTACTACTTAATTTATGTATTTATTACAGAGAAATTTAACAACAGCTATTGTACACCCTATTCAGTCATTTAACTCATGTGTTGGCCATTCAATGTATTATTCAGATTCAAATTCTATAGAAAAACATCCAGAAGAGGATATTTCAATAGTGGAAACATTGGATAACAAAGAAGATCGACCAGATAATATCAGATCAATAGTGTGTGCTAATCCAAGAAAAAAACTTTACTTCAATCCAGACTATTTTGAACTTGAATTATTAATGGTAAAAAAATAATTTATTTTGTTAATTAAATAAGTAAAATAAAATATAAATAGCTCAATAATTTCAAAAATAAATAATTATTTTTAGGCTCCTCCACCTGCAGCGTTAGAATTTTTGGAAAAAATTCGTGAAGTAATACACGAAGCGAAAAGAAAAATAACAATGAAAAAATTCACACCAAATCTTATTGTGATTCAAGAAGATGCAAATGAAGACACAAATGAACCATTAAGTTCTTGCAATAAATGCAAGACTCAATTTAAAATTAAATCAGCTACAATACAAAAATGGTTGATGAATGTACCTATAGAAGTTACCAAACCCAAGAAAAATCAAGCTCCTTGTGTTCCTGTTGAGTTAAAAGCAAAAGATGACGTAAATGATGGAAATGACTTGCAACTCAAAGAAAACAAATTAAAATCACAAACTGATGAAGTAGAAGAAGCAGAAGAAGAAGAAAAAGTAATAGAAGAAAAAGAAGAAGAAGAAGAAGATGATGATGATGATGATGACGAGGAACAGGGTACTAACATCGAATGCGATAGTTTGGAAAGATCAATGAATTACAGGCAGAAATGTGGATATCATACACCGTCAGAGTACGGATTTGTTAGACCAGACCTGAGTCCAGTTTTAAGTAATTCTGCTTTACCAATGGATGAAGAACTTACCATTAGAACCACATATACTTATGACACTATCACGAAAAGAGAAAGCTATTATGAACATATATCTGGTCCAGACTGTATACGAGAAAAACCCAAAACGGAAATCTTACCCGATATACTTAATAGGTCATCCGAACGTTATAGTTTGGTTAGCGAAGTATATGTAAACGATAACTTTAACACTAGTATGTCGCCTAATAATTCACTGGATAAAAAGATTAAAAAGAAGAGTCCAGGTCAAATAACTATTGAAGTAGAAGACTGTCCTGACAATCATCCAGCAGAGGATTCGGACAGTTTTGAACCAGATACATTAGATAGAAACTGTACGAAAATAAAACCAAATTTGAAAGCAGTATACTCTTCAGACTCATTAGAGCAATTCAATAGTCCTAAAAGCATGAACAATAATGGATATGGTAGTTTATTAGAGATATACGAAGCAAAGAATGTCCTGGCTGATGTGCAAAAGAGAAGAGATATGAGCCAACTTGAGGCCAAATACTTAAAACCAGATCCAAAACACTGTCGAAGGCAAAGGTGTCCATCACCTTTGTCTGTACAAAAGCCTCCAAAAAACGCCTGTGTCAGAAGCACTAGCAAACCCGGAGTCATGCAATCCGATTGCGTCAGCTCACAATTTAACCAGCGAACCCATAATATCATGGCTGGTGCTTCTGACAAACAAGCAGTCAAAAGTTCGCCAATTGATCATAACAGATATGAAGACTCCGGGTATCTTAGTACTGAATCTAACGAATCTCTCAACAAAGTGGTGGCTACTAGTCTAGATACAGATGAATCTGGGGCAGAAAGCATAGACACAGATTTCAAATTTTATAAATCTCGTACAGACCGTAATTACTGTGATTGGTAATAATTATTTATCCAAAGATATAGTTTTTATCTATTTATTTTTTATTAGATAATATAAGTACCAAAAATTAGATTTATTTGTAAAATATGAAATTTGTAAATATTCATAGAACTACTACAGTTAAAATAATTTCTTTATATTAAGGTTATAATTGATCAAAAATCAATATTAGGGCTGGGCTGATATGCAAACCGATATCGATTATCGGCAATATCGGTTTTATCGGTATCGGTTTTTTTTTAAAACCAATATTTGAACCGATATAAAAAAAAAAAAACAATTTATCATTATAATATGTATAATCTAATATTTTCAACTCTGCGGTTATAACTGTAAACATTAAACTTATTTATTTATAATGATGTAATCATGTATTATAGGGGATTTTATAATATCGGTTAATGCGTTAGAATAAAAATTCAAAGTTTTGAATGTATCGGTTATCGGTTAAAAGTGATATCGGCCCACCCCTAATCAATATCATTTAAATCAAGTATATCTTCATTCATTTCCTAAGAATAACTTTTTGAAAATATACCATATGATGGAGAAATTTTTTTTAACATCAACATACCAACTATTAATATTAATATATTAAGTAAGATTTTATAAAGATATCATATGATGAAATACTTTCTCTCGATAATCTTAAAATACTCTTTAACATATATTATCATTGATTTTTTAAACAAAACTAAACATTGGAAATATCTTTAATCGAGTCTTTAATACATCAACCAAATTAAAAATTTACCAAAAATGATAAAAATAATAAATATTATTGTCTCTTAATCAAGTAAGTAGCAATATATTTGAACAAAGAAACCACACGACTTTAAATTTGTATATCCTTAACTTTTTAATCATAAAAATAAAAATATGTGTTCATAATGAAACAAATATATTTTATACATTACTGTTATATTATAATATATTATGTATCTAAAAACTGTATATAAAAAATTTGGAAATATATTTTCATATGAGGCTGGATTGAGTGCAATTATAGATTATTTTAATCGCCTATTATTAAGGTTTAATTATTTAGATATAGTATTTTAAGTTTTACATACAAATCAATATCAATATTTATTTAACATGATTTCAGCGCACCAATTGTTTTCTCTCTTTGCCACATGTGTAAGCACAACATAACAACTTTATGCTCAGCAGATCCAATCTTGTGTTATTAGCTTTAATATTAAGAGTGATTTGGCCGTTAATCTAACTTAACTCAAGAATGTTATCTGTGGACGTCGGTATTTTTTTTAAATATTAAAATTTTTCTGTGCTATAAGATCATTTTTAAAAAGTAATATTATTTTACTAACAAGATTGAAATATCTTAAAAACATATAGGTGTATGGTATAATGTTCTTAATTTTAAGTTTGATCATAGGTCATTCATTAAATAAAAAAAACAATAAATCATAGATTAAGGGGGCTGGAGCGTAATCAATTCTAAGGAGTAAAAATTAGGTATTTTATATTTCAAGTTAAATGGGTCTTGTAAATGTGTTGAAAGTAAATGAACATTGGTGTGTGTAATTTGTAGTACCGATTACGTTGTATAGGGGCATCGTAATATGTCTGTCATTTTACCTAAGCGCATGCACATGTCACCACTTGTTACTTTATAAGATAACAAACATTATTTTTCAAAAAATACTGCCAGTGACTTCAATCACTACGCTCAGTAGGATGTTCCGATTTAAATTTGGAAAGCAGATTTTAATTCTCCTCTGAATTTACTATGCTTTGAATGTCTTACATTTTTCATAGTCTATATCAATGTATTTAATTTCAAATTATGAATGTAATCTATTTTTACTTTTTTTGTTAGTAAATTTCTAAAGAAAAAAAATCAGAAAAATGAAATTGTCAAAGCATAGATAATTTAGTGACAAATTCAAATTTGCTTTCAAAATTAATATCAGAACATTATATTGTGCGTAATGATTGAAGTCATGAGCTATGTTGTAGACCGAAAATTAATCAAGCTCCAGCTAAAAACATATTGGTTCTGCTGAATGCAAATTTACTATTTTGTATGTGGGTCAGACAGAGATAAGAAATAGTGCCCTGACATCATATTAAAGCGTTTTGTTTTCATTACATGGTTTACATGGTTGTATATTTAAATATAGACAAAGGTAACAATCTTATTAAAACTTTAAATTATTGTCATACCATAAATTTCAAAAAATTAAACAAGGTACCTTTGTTGGTATCTTTCAGTTCCAATTAAAATATTATTAGAGATGTTAAGTAAAACGACTGACTTATAATTATAGGTTCTGTTTGTAAATTATTTATTTTTAATCTAGAGATACCTTTTTACTTTTATCTACGAATAAAAATGTAAAAATAAATGAAAATTGAACATACAAATTTTTATCATATGATTTATTTTAATTATAATTTTAATTGCAGAATTTACATGTGAGTTTAAACTTTTACATATTTATAAAATCAAGCAACCTAATGAAACTATTGTTTTCAAATCTTATAGGTATTACATCTTATATTTTATTTAATATATGAATTAAATTATAATTTCTGGAAAAATTTGTTTAAATGTATTACCTATATATACATAAGAAACAATATAAAGTGATGACATTTAATTATTGTACTTATTGTAGTTATATTTTATTACTACATACCTAACTAAAAAAAATTAGTTTAAGTAAATAGATTTAGTTGAGTTCAATTGAATATTAATTATGAATTATTTAGTATAATGTAAATAATTATAAAGTTAGTGAATACATTTTTTTATTGTTAAGTTTTATTGTTAGATATTATCATGTTTATGTTGTGTTTAATTATTGATATTGTGAATAAATTGAGTTGATCTTTCTCCTATACATTATATATTGTTGATATACGATTGAAATATTTTATTACTTGCAGATTTTAAGTGACAAAAGAAATTATATCACAATAACCAGAAAACAAAACATTTGTTGATAACCATGGTTATGTTGAGAAATATATAATATAAAGAATATAGTGACAAATATTAAATTTAAAACTTGTATACATTCATTCAAGATTAACAAAATATTAAATACATTTGTAATGTAATAAATAATAATCAATCAATATCACTTTTTAGTGCAATTAAGTTAAAATTATCTTTAATATAGTACTTACCAATCTACAACGAGTTATATTCCATTGATCTCTTGGTATTATTATTTGTTTATTCAAATATCTTTTAAATATATTTCGAAGTTCCTTTAAATCTAGCATAACAGTATCAATATTATAATATGTTGGTACTTTAGTATCTAGACAATTAATTATAGTGTGCTCGGAAAACATTGTAGTCAGTATTTGAATAAATGTTTTTGTATATCCCAATGAGCTGCAAAATCAGTTTAATTAATTTTATTAGTTTTATTTATTTTGTACGAAATAGTAAATAATGAAATAGAAAACATACTCTGAATATACTTTAAGAATATACTCTAATGGCGATAATGGATCCAAATAGCATATAACTGTTCTTAACCACGATAAAGAACTATGAACAAACCATTCATGTTTTACATCAAACTTAAAATTGTTCATAATCATATTTCTTAGATCTTCATGACACATAGTACTCTTAATTCGATAACATGAGACTAATTTAGTGCAACGTAAAGTCACTAAATCTTCAACTATGACAAAATATAGACAATAATGTTAATTGAAAAAGTATTAAATATATTTTTAAAAAAGTCCATAGAACTTAGATTAATAATAAAAAATTACATAATTTAGATGTCTTCAAAATTATTACTTAAAACTAATAACTATAAAAAGCTGCAATTAAATATTAGAAATAACTACAAGAATAACGATATTAGAATAATAAATGTACATTTTACTATTTTACGAACAAAACATTGTTAGTTGTTACATATGGTACCAAATATATTATATAAAATATACTTATTTTTATGTATTACAGGAACATTAGTTTTTAGTCTTGTGAGTAATTAAAAAAAAGAAATTAATGATTCAATTATTTATAGTTAATAAGATACAAAAGTATGTGATAATAATTAATAACAAAACATAAAACAATTAATGATCATTAATATTTTACACGACAAATTGAATCATTTTTTGTGAACCAAATATTATAGTCTTTTACTTGTTTAATAAAATATTTTTAAAATGCTTCATATTATTATGAATGTGAAATTAATATTACAATAAGTAAAAGTGTACTTTAGTTACCTGTACTGACATTACTATTTTTAAACAGAGAAAATTAATATATTAAGCGAAATTGAATTAAGTATCTGAAGATGTCTTCGAATAATTTAAACGCTAATATACTTACCAAAAATACCATTTTTAACAAATGTATCAAATTCCTTATCCAAGAATAAGTTTGCAGTAACCATAATTTTATCAGAATTAATGTATTGTATCCCTAGAATATAAATAAAAAAGAATAAGTAGATATATTATAGTATCTTTGTTTATTTAAAATTTTAGGTACCTAACTTACAACTTACTATCATCAATTTTGTTATTTATGTACACCATGCTATGAACAGAATATGGAAGTGATTTAGTGTTCCAATTATCAATGACAACTATAAAGACATTTTTAAAAAATATTAAACTAGAATCAAACAATACTTGTTAGTTAGGTAATTATAATATTTAAACAATATAATTATTTACTTGTAATTATGATTGAACTTTCAGAATTTAAACTCATGACACTTTTTTCGATACAATTTAAAATACAAGTATTTTCATTACCACTATAAAAGTTAAAACCACTTTTGTTCTTTTCAACTTTCCAACATTCATAACGAAATTTTGACCAAATTTGTGTATTGTCTTCTAATAGTATTAGATTAAAATTTGATACAGGTCTAAGTAAACATAAACAATTTTAATTATTTTAATATGTACAATTAATGAATTAAAATAATACTTTACAATTTTGAAGTGTTTTGAAGAGTAAATCCATACACAAGATTTCCATCAGATAATTTTAGCCAAGAATTTTTTGTTATAACATTCGATAACAATTTAACATCGGAAGTACCATCATTAGATACTTGCAGTACAGCACTGATAAATGATGTAGTTTTATGTGATATTTTATTTCTTTCTGTGTCGTATAATGTTTTTAAATGCTGTAAAATAGAAAACCAATTATAAAAAATATTTCATGATGAATAACTCTACGGTATACTGGTATATTTAAATGGATTCTATTTGGTGTTTTATATTTCTTATTTTTATAACTTAATTCAATAAGAGGATGTCAGTGAAATATAAGTTTTCTCTCTCAGACACATGTGCAACAATGTTAAAATGCGTTCATGTAAAATTGTTGTTTTTATGATTTTTGAATGATTGTAGAATAAAATCACCTATTACAAAAATTAAAGAGGATAATATTTTGTAGGATCTAACATATCAGTTTTATATTTTATTATTGTTTAATATTTAATATTACATTAGACTATACAAATAATTTGAAAATGTAAAAAGATATTTAATTGTGTTGAGAGTGTTGAGACAATATTTAGGTAAATTGATATGTCACACCCTCAAAAATATTATTCTTTACATTTTAATGACGGGTGATTTTACTCTAAGATAACTCAAAAATTATATTCCACATGGACCGAAAGAAAAAACAAACAGAGCGCTGATATCCTCTTAAGCTTAAAATGTCTATAATTAGAATAATCAAGATTAATTATTAACTGATGGGTATTTAATATTTTAATTTAGTTACTCAGTCATTACTTGAACATTTTACTGGTGAGAAAAACCAAATGTGATGTAGGTGCTATCTGATATACTTAATTAATAATATGTTAAGTATGATTTTTTATTTAACAAGTTTACAGCAGAGAGTAAATCTGAGTACTTTATGAAAACTCCATGTATAAAATGGCTTTTAAAATAAACACGATTTAAAAAATACAAATAGTAACTATCTGGTTAGAAATTTGAACCAGCTGTAAAAAAACGATAGAATAGACCACGGAAACTTGATATTTGTTATAATAAGCCAGTGAAAATAAATCCCATATAAAAACAATATTAACCATGTCACATATATGTGGCACGTAGCCGTAAATGTGTTAATCAATATAAAGTAACAGAAATTGTGAAGTTCTGAATAATTTTTGTTTTTAACCAACAAAACTATGTACATTTTGATGAGTCTCTTTAAATTGAACATCAATACCTAGTATAATATAACACTTATACAGGTTGCAATATAACACATTACTTGTAATTTGTTCACACAAAATGAATATACAACAGAAGTTTCTTGAGGTATACTACTAATTTGTTCCTTATTTTCAAAAATATCAATCAATTCAAAACCTTTGTCAGTTCTCATATAAAGTTGAGGTATTCCCGAATTATTATGATCATGGACAACCATTTCATACACATTGGAATATGTTGTGATAATCTAATGATAAAAAATATAATTTTAGTTATATAATATAAATAATATAGGTTATACAAATATAAGTAAGTATACTAGACTATATTTGTCTGTGGTTAATTAACTATAATCCACTCCACTTAAATCTTTTTAATATGTATAGTTAACTACATAGTTAAGGTAAGTATATTAAATTTTTATAGGTAGGTACCTTAAGACTTGTTTCTTCTTTCACTATTACAACTTTATTATCTCCATGTAAAATATAATAAACTTCAATTTTAGGCTCATTATATAGAAGAAATGGTTCTAAATGTTTAACTTCAATCTCCACATTACAATTTTTCATCAGACATCCTTTGAAAAAAGTCATAAGCTTTTTGTCCGTTGTACAGATCACCGTATCATTATCACATCCTGAAAACATATATTTAAAATAATAATAAACTAGGTAGGTACTTAAGAGTTTAACTAACAAACAAAATGTAATTATATAGAAATATTATCTCACCTACTATTCCTTTTATAGCAGCAGTTGTGATGTCTTTATATGATTCTGGTATATTTAACAATTGACTCATAGTGAAAGAACGAATCAATTAATCGTGTATTAAAACTTAAATGATAGGAAATGATTTATATTTTGGGATTTAAATCAATATTAATTACCTATTTGAATAATAGGCAATACTTGTTGTTAAATAATAAATCTTAAAAAAAAATAAAAAATAAGATTAGTATACAGAATACAAATTAGTTCATACAGTTAGGTAGGTAAGCATTTAATAAATTGAATAAGATGGTAGGTACTTTTGTAAAATTAATACTATACAAATAGTCAACAATAATCTTAAGTACCCAAAACTGTCATGTTCAAAGAAAGAGTTATATAAATCATAATATACCTATCTAATATATTATAATAATATAGACTATATACCATTATTTTTCACCAGCATTAATATTATTTTCTAAAAATAACATTGAACAATACTAACCACTAACTAAGATAACCATTTTTTATTTACTATTTAGTAATAGTAGAATAATATAAACGATAAAATATTACTAACTATTAAGTGTTTAAGTTTCAACAGTTTAGTATTTAACAATTCAATTGTGACACAAACATAACAAATATTGACAATGTAACACTATTTTTCTATTATTAAGTCAAGAACTAATATAATATTAAACAAAATACAAATAAACAGACAAATTAATTTCCAATGATAAATAGGTAGAGTAATTAAATTAGTAAATTAGTAGTTCGGGATCGGGAATATTGTGATTTGTGGTCAAGTTTAAATTTGAAATTTGATAAGAAAATACTGTTGTCACGGACTAAGATATACAGGACTGGACACGACAAGGGGGGGGGTGACTACGAAATGTTTTACAACAGGCAGTGTTCGGGGGGATATTTTCCTTTTAGCATTACTAGCGCCGTCCTAGTGGATACTTATGGAACTAGAACACATCATACAAATTTCTAGTTCCATAAGTATCCACTAAGACGGCGCTAGTAATGCTAAAAGGAAAATATCCCCCCGAACTCCGCCTGCTGTAAAACATTTCGTAACCACAATATTCATCTCGTGTCCAGTCCTGTATATCTTAGTCCGTGCTGTTGTGTACTTATCAATTATTATCTGTACCCACCACAGAATAACTTCTGTGTACCCAAGGCGGCAAGGCACGGACTGGTAACGATAAGGCTGGAGGGTGGTAGAGGGCTGGATACCAAATGTTTTCAATAGGTACATGTGGGACACCTAGCGCTATCTAGTAGGCTTATAGCTCATCTACCATTACTTCTCTATAAATACATTGGCACAGAAAAATAAATTACATTGGTCTCATTGCATATTTTATATTTTTATATTCATTCCATTAGTAAATAGTAGAGTATTTAGACTTTAGAAATTTACTTACTACTTACTAGAGCGTCTAGATCTACTGCTTGATTTATTTAAAGAGTTACGACTATTTTCTACATTTGTGTTGAAATTATAAAATTAAAATGCCTCGCCAGTGTTCAGTATTTTTATGTACCACTAAGGAACGGTCCAATGTTCAGTTGTTTAAAGTTCGAGAATCGTGGGAGGAAATTATTAATGAATTAAATGGTAATCATAAACGTAAAGTGGCATACGTCTGTATAGAACATTTTAGGAAAGAAGATTTGATTAACAGTTATAGTGGGTGTAATGACTTGGAAGTAAGAAAACATAATTATTTGTATTTAGCCATTTAGGTAGGTAGGTACTAGGTACTATATAAGTACCTACTTGGTCATTATAAATTATAAATTATAACTCAATAATTCTATACACAGTTTAAAAAGAATTTAATTGGGCTAAAAAAAGGTGCTTTTCCATCAGTATTTAATTCACCATTTGATATTCACAAAACAAATGATTTGCCTGCAGAACCTCGAGAATCTTGTAGGTACACCTGTTACTGAGTCATTTAGGAAAGAATTGTTTGGTGAACCCAAGCCTAAGAGATTATGTCAAACACCAACATTAATAGTATGTTTGTGATTAATTGTTATAATAGACCATGTAGATTATTTAATTTATATATACCTACCTAACTTCATAGTTCATAATATGATTTATTAAAGGAATCAAAACTGTGGTATGAAAGTTTATTATTGCCAGTTGGTTGGTCATTATATCATGATGGATATATTGTTGCATTGTATAAGCTAATTAAATTCATAGAATTTAATGAAGCTAAAATTGTTATTGAAAAACAAATTGTTTTTGAATCAAATAGTTTAAAAGTGAGCTATTATGTTAATCAAAAGCGTCGAAATCCTGAAGATTTGGATCTACAAAAATTAACATACCCACTTGATACATTGCAAATTACTGAAATCCTTCAATTGTTTGAACAAAAAGAAATATGCCAAGGAGGTCCCAGTGTCATACATTTTTCAGGTATGGGTTTTAAATGTTAAATAAAACAGCTGTATATAGGTACCTACCTAAACCAATTTTTATTTAGGAATTCGGGTTAAGAATACTTATTTAGAGAATACAACCTGGCGCCATAATGAATGTTCTATTCTAACAAGTTCAAAAAAAAGATGTAAAAGGTGCAACTCATTGTTCCCTTATTTTAGAGAGTATAAAAAAAGATTATCTATAAGAACTAAAACATATGTTGGAACAACTCTCACTCCTACAAGACACAAAATAATTAAAGGGATGATAAAAAAATCGAAAAATGTTAAGAAATCCAACAAAAGGTAAAATTAATTTAAACTAATAACCTATTTATTTATTAAAATACTTTATAATATTTTATTTTTCAAAACTTTAAATTAAAAATTAACCAATTAAATTGTACATTGAGTGAACTACAAGATAAATCATTAAATGATTTAGTTGAACATTAGTTCACAAAAAAACAATAGTCCAAGAAATCGTAAATGCTAGTAAAGTCACCAATTTAAAAAATAGACGTTATTCAGAGAATTGGATTTTATTATGCATGTTGTTGAAAATTAATTTAATTTATATGATTGAGTGTATAGTCGTATGGATTTAATATTTAAAGTTCATAATACCTACTTAATATGGTTTACACGTTTTTATTTTTTCTATAAAATATAACATAATATTAAAGTTTAAACACTGGTTTTGGCATTGTATGTTTAACTAAAAGTTATTTTAAAATTCAAGGACGTGTTATAATCAATATTGATATGAGCAATAACTAATATTGATTTATATTCTATATATTCGGATCTAACTTTAAAATATATATTTGCTACCTTTGTAGTATGTATAATGATAATGATGTACCTATTTCAGTGCAAAATCTAATGTTATGCCTATGGGCTATGTTAATATATTAGTGTACACTGTACCTTCAACTGTCAAAACTTACATACCGTCAAAAAGTGATTTCCTATAGTACAAAAGATAGGTATCAAGTTTGGTTCAGATTAGGATATTACAACTCAAGTCAATAATTATGTAGAAAAAATATATATATATATATATTAACACATACGTGGGGATTTAATGGTTCCAACCTAAACCGAAATGTTTTCAAACAATGTTATTTTTCGACATGCAGTATTATATTATTATTTTACCTATGTAGAATACGATTTTGAATTTTTTAAATATTATTTTGTAATAATAAATTTGTATCAACTATTTGAGTCAATTTGACTATATTAACGTTCAAGCATTCTACACAATACATATTATTATTTACAATTATTGTATGGTTTATATAACCATCCATGTCATATCCGCCAGTGTAATACGTTATTTTATGATTTATTCCGCAGTAATTCGTCGCCTTTAGTATTTGATGGCTTGAATATTTCTTGTCTCTTGAAACATATTATAATATCCGTGTAGCGTTTGTACTGCAGGTCTACGGCCATTATACTCTGTATAAATCGACCAACGAGTTTTTTTATTTAAAATATATGGACGGTGTTTGGGAGAAAGGGTTCAAGTCCATTTTTGGTCATTTTGATGTAAATAGTCGATTTTGTAGGAAATTTTGTGCCGCATCGATTGGTCAAACTGTAATGCATCCATGATCATTTGTTATCAAATTATTTTCAAGTGCGTTTTGATTCAAGTCATAATGGAAATAATTTGTTGTGAGAAACCACCCAAGTCCAATAACATGTTATCACTTTTATGTGATAAACGGACTAAGTTATTTTTATAATATAATTGTTCGTGCATAAGGGCACAAGTCACACAAATTTTTAGTGAACAAAGGCACAAGTCACATACAAATGTTCAGAATTTAAGTGTTATTGGGCATAAGTCCATGTAAACAATAAGAAATTCCTTTTTTACTTAAAAAGAATTTAAAATTGCAATAATTATAACTTAAAATAATTATATTCAATATAAGATATGAATATTTTTGGATTGGGTACCATATATTATGTTTTTTTCGTTTATTGAAAAACTAGGATTTTGGACTTGAACCCTTTCTCCCAAACACCGTCCAATTATATTTTAACGTTTTTTTAGTCGTTAAATCTGTAAAAATTGAACTAAACGAAAAAAAAAAGAAACAAAATTTTTTTTGTGTTCACAAAATATATTTAGTATAACAAAAAGGCCGCGAATAAGAAGAAAAAAAAACCGAAATTAAAATGTGTGAACAACTTAACAATTTTGAATTTTGAAATGACTTAAATTTAAAGAAAAAAAAATACGACAGACAGGATAGACACAATAAACAAGGGGGGAGGATGCGAGATGGCGATTGGTGCAAAAATGCAGTGTTGCTGGCCACTGGTCACCTCTGCACGTTCTCCGACCTGTCCCGCGGGTTGACGAGTGTTGCTGGAGCGTTTGCTCGGACGCTTGACGACCTTGCCCAGCCTGCGAGGCCAGACCGAGACGGCCACGGTTGCGACCACGGTTGACGGCGACTAGTGAGCGATGTCGTGCGCGTCGACGGTCGACGGCGTGACGACTCGTGACGACGGACGGCGTGACGACTCGTGACGACGGACGGCGAAGACCAAGACGTGGAGCCAGCGAAATGAGATTCTGTGCTGCGGATCCGGTGGGGACGATCG